TGCGTCCCTTGCCGATTCCTGAACGACCGTGGCAAGGGATCGCAATGGACTTTATAGTCGAGCTCCCACCGTCCCAAGAACACACCGCGATCTTCGTGGTCATCGATCGATTATCGAAAATGGCTCACTTTGTACCATTGAGGAGGACTCCGTCTGCATCCGAGACTGCGCGAATATTCATCCAGGAAATCGTAAGGTTACATGGAATCCCGGAGGACATCGTCTCGGATCGTGGGGTCCAATTTACATCTAGATTTTGGAGGGCCCTGTGCAAGGCCCTGGATATCAAGTTGTCCCTCTCCTCTGCTTTCCACCCTCAGACCAACGGACAGACCGAGAGGACCAACCAGACCCTAGAACAATACTTGCGTTGCTACACATCCTTCCTTCAAGATAATTGGTTGCCACTGTTACCTTTAGCGGAATTTGCATATAACAACGCAAGCCATTCAGCGACAGGGCAATCTCCGTTCTTCTCTAATTACGGATTTCACCCTGTCTTTCTTCCTGATTTGGTCTCTGAGTGCCCAGTTCCGGCAACGCAAGACGCATTAAACTTCTTCTCCTCGAACAACAAAGTACTACAGGAAGCCATCGCTCGGGCCCAGGAGGATAACAAGAATGCATATAACAAGAAACGAAGAGGGAATCTGGTGCTGAAGCCTGGGGATAAGGTCTGGTTGGCAACAACCAACTTGAGAATGCTTTGTCCCTCAAAGAAATTGGGACCTAAATTCGTGGGGCCTTTTTGTGTGAAGCGAATGGTCAACGAGGTGGCATATGAACTTACCCTCCCTGAAACATTCAGAATTCATCCTGTTTTCCACGTGTCCTTACTTAAACCTGTGATCCCGGATGCCTTCCCAGAACGTGAATCCAGACCTCCGGAGGCCATAACGGTGGAGGGACAAGAAGAATATGAGGTGGAAACGATCCTGAAGTGCCGAAGAAGGGGGGGCCAGACCCAATTTCTTATAAAATGGAAGGGCTATGGCCCCGAGGACAATTCTTGGGAACCAGCCCATAATGTCCATGCACCCAGACTTGTCCGGCGGTTTCTTCGTGACCACCCGTGGTGGAGAGATCGGGTGGGCATCCGGAGGTTGCCCGTAGGGGGGGGGGCAATGTCAGGGATCCCCTCGATCCCCGCCGCGATGGTCCCGGCGCAGGCGCAGTATGCCGCCCTGTGCAGGACGCGGGCTCTAGGTCGCCCGCTGGGCACCAATGGCAGCGCAGGGCGCGATATTTAAACGGCCCTGAGCTGTCATTCAGTGCCTTCTGGTCTTGTCCTTGCCCTGTATCCTGTATCTGAACCCGAACCTGTAAGTTGCTGACCCGGATTGTACCTGACCACTGCTGAATTATCCTGCCCAGACCCTTGCTTTGCCTGACCTCTCTTCCGTATGTCCCCTATTGGATTTGACCTACTGTTGATGACCTGGCGTGTGACCCGACTATTCTCTGCCCGCTGCCTTGTACCGTGCTGTCCTCCCCGTTACCGACCCGGCTTGCCTGACTCTGCACTTGCTCCTCCATCCATCCATCCATCCATTCCTCTCAGCGGGGTTCCCAGACCTCCTCATATCAGGCTCTCTCCCGTGGGGGCCCCTGGCGACCACCCCTACCACTGACGGGTGCCCTCAGTAAGCACGACCTGGTCCCGGGGTACTCCAAGTCCATCCCCACCATCAGGGGCTCTGGTGAACAAGTACTCTGGGACTTAGACTCCGTGCGCTGGGGACGCCTGATTAGTGGAGTGCTAGTGGTGTCGCCAGGCGGTCCCTTACACTAACCATTTCTTGTATCATGTTTGCTGTCCCTGACCAAGAGATGGTCAGAGACTGCAGACATGGTACAAGAGATGGTCAGAGACTGCAGACATGGTACAAGAGATGGTCAGAGACTGCAGACATGGTACAAGAGATGGTCAGAGACTGCAGACATGGTACAAGAGATGGTCAGAGACTGCAGACATGGTACAAGAGATGGTCAGAGACTGCAGACATGGTACAAGAGATGGTCAGAGACTGCAGACATGGTACAAGAGATGGTCAGAGACTTCAGACATGGTACAAGAGATGGTCAGAGACTGCAGACATGGTACAAGAGATGGTCAGAGACTTCAGACATGGTACAAGAGATGGTCAGAGACTTCAGACATGGTACAAGAGATGGTCAGAGACTGCAGACATGGTACAAGAGATGGTCAGAGACTGCAGACATGGTACAAGAGATGGTCAGAGACTGCAGACATGGTGCAAGAGATGGTCAGAGACTGCAGACATGGTGCAAGAGATGGTCAGAGACTGCAGACATGGTACAAGAGATGGTCAGAGACTGCAGACATGGTCAGAGACTGCAGACATGGTACAAGAGATGGTCAGAGACTGCAGACATGGTCAGAGACTGCAGACATGGTACAAGAGATGGTCAAAGACTATGGACATGCTGTAGGAGCTTTTGGAGAATAAGGACATGCTTTAGGAAAAAGTCATAGACTGGAGACATTACAGGAGGCTGCTAAAATCACTATTACAGGGTAATACAGAAACAGATTAGCGTCTGCAGGGGCTCTGAGGTAAAATCAGGTCAGCAAGCTGGTCATGCCATAACTCAATTATGTAAATTTCAGGACTGGAGGAACAGGAATACAAATCCTTTGACAGGTAAAACAGCTCCCATATCTTTAATCCAATTGAGTATTTAGCCATCTGCCTGAAGTTTAGGTTTACAGCTGTACAATATTTCACCCCACACAAAGCCTTCACCTATTGTTTCCTAATAATAGGGAAAGAGAGTAAACTCGACCCGAAAGATTTTGGGACTGATTTGGTAAACACAAATAGGATATTTACTTTGCAGTGGAAATTTCCCTTAGTTTAGCAAATGTGGGGAAAATTCACTTTGCAAAAGAATAACCAAATCACATGCAACAAAAATAAAAAAATAGTTTTCTTGTACACGATTGGAAGATGGAAGTCAGCAGAACTTCATTTCATTTATGAAGCTACAGGAAATTTCCTTTGGAAAGTAAACAGCCCATATGCCTTACGTAAATGAACCCTTTTGGCTGAAGTCAGTCCCTGCAGTCAAACTAGAAATGATATTCTGAAGACTTTAAAAGGTTTTCCACTTCTGTGACAGACCCCCACAAGTCAGCTATTTTTATAGCAGTTTTGAGCAGCTCTACGGCTAAAGAATCACAGGCAGCTGCTCGGATTTTTCTTTTGAAACACCACTCCATCCCAAAAGTCTTTTGAGATCAATGAGCTATTGAGGCCGAAACTAGATTGTGACAAAGAAAAATGAAGAACGTACAGCTACAGTGTGGGGGCACCTCAAAAGCATTGGGGAAACACCTCATCAGCAGGGGTCTGAAAGAACCTGTAGGCTCAAAACACAAAGGGGCTCTCACGTATTTCATGAAACATGGCTCTGTGCACCTAGTAGAAAAAGTCTCCCCACATATAAGAAATGTGTGCGTTTATTAAAACAATGAGCATATTGCCCCCTTCCTACAGTACAGTGCCAAGCGTATGGGATGTTTTCACGCCATTTTTAATCTTTCAAAATAAATTATAGTCAAGGTAGCATTACAGCCAAACGTTTTCCTTCCTTTGTGTTTGACGGCATGGAGATGGGTTGGAACCAGAACAGAAAGGGAATAAAGCCAAAAACGTAAGGCTCTCACCAGACCAGAGGAAAAATCATTCCTGTGATGACAGCTGTCAAAAGGTGAACTAACACTCTATACCCTCCCCAACCCCAGTCTCCACAGGGAAGTTTTTCATTTTTTCTGAAAAGGTGGACCAACCCTTTAAATTTAACACATTGATGGCCACAATGCAGTAATGTCTACTATCTTAGATGTTTTACTGTTTTTCTAAGCCAAAACCATCTATAGGCTAGGTTCACACATATGCGGCTGCTAGAGCCTCGCGCAGCATCGCAGCATATATGGGAACCGTAAGTGCAGCATTGTTCCCAGTGTGGGAGCAATTTCCAGTGCATGGCACCCACATGCATCCAGTACGTTTTTCTGTGAGGATGGTTGCGGCTGCGGGAGAGGGAACTACCCACACAGATGTGAACCTAGTTTAAGGGCTCGTTCACACTGCTTTGTGGTTCAGGAAACCCACATTCCGTATCAGTTTCCTGCACCGTATTCAAATCATACTGCCCTTGCGATCTGCAGTAGGTGTCAGTGTAAAGTTAACAACACCACAAACACAAGTTGCAAACTCTCCGCGTTTGCCCACACGCATGATACAAAAGTACTATGCAATCCGGTTGCACTCTGTTTCCAAAAGTGGTGCATGCACTACTTTTGGTGCAATGCAATTTCAAGCCATTTTGAATGGGCTGAAATCACAACCAAATGGACAGAATCGCACTGCACAGAACTGCATGTGAATCGTACAGATCATGCGAGCGCATTTCTGTGCGACTCTCCTGCAGTTCCTAGTGTGAATGGACCTTTACAGTCTAAACATTTAACAAGAATAGCTTTAATTGATCCACTAGAATTTTGAATTAGTCTATACCAACAAATTGACTAACGTGCCAAGCTTGCAATGCTACATCAAGTATATCACACTTAGGGCTTGTTCACACTAGCAAGCCAAGCTAATTACATGGCTCCTGGTGGGAGCTGGGAAAAAACAACATTGATGCATTGATCCTGGAGAGTCACACTGATTACTTTCTTTGTTAGAAAAGTAGTCTGCGCTGCAACCCGCAGCACTACAAAAAGGTTCTGCATGCAATACTCTTTTTTTCGTACACCACTGCAAACAATGGTGTAAACTTCCCTTATAGGGTTTTTATCTTTGTTTTGTGTTAGAACGGAGATGGGTAAGCTGCCCAATGCAGTCCCTGCACAAGTCCTTAAGGTCCACTTGTTCATAACTTTGTAAAGAACACAGAAATCTATAATACTTTTCTCTACAATCAAATCAACATATACCAAACATAAAATATTTCACACAAAGCTTACTCACTTGTACTTTAGGAATAGCCACTGGAGAATCCAGAGTGCCACTAGGATCATTCCATTAATCTCACAAATTGAGAAAGCCCATGCAACCCTGTCAAAATGATCAAAAAATACATCCGGAAGGGGACCTTCATCTGTCTTGGAAGGCACACGTTCATGGACAACAGAAATCATCACTGTAGTGAACATAAAACAGCAAAGTGCATAGAGGAAGGCTACAAGGGTTTTACTCCACTCATCAGGAAAAGACAGAGAACGGTCCACCTCAGGCATAGGAATTTGTACCATTTCCTTGCGGATTCCATTTGGCATGCCATTCTTCTTGGCTTTGCTGGTGAAAGCATGATCGTTCGAATTGATCTCAGCTTTGGTGTAAATATGTCCGTTTGCATGTCCATTTTGTGTACCTCTATGTGATGTTCAATTTTAAGTGTTTCTATCATCTCCAGCAGCTGCCTTCCATTATCAGAAGAGACAAGGGACAGCGGTGGCTTGTGAAAGTCATCTTCTCTTAACCTGAGCAAACCTTGGCCATTAAGGGATTTAAAGGTCTCCAAGTATTCCGGTAGACCTCTGTTGGTTAACCAGTCAGCAACCTCCTTGGATGACCAGTGGATTACCTCCTTCATTTTCCAATAACAGTGTGTGTGTCTGATTATTCGACACAATTGCTCTTGCAGCAAACCAGTCCTCTTTGTAACCTTCTCATCTTGTCACTGGCTTAGCTGTACAGCACAGATTATGAATGAGACGGAAGCCAATGGATGTTGATAACATTACATGTCTCCTTGCTTTTGGGGATAAAAGAAGTTACATCACCGGGTCACTGGAAGAGAAATAGATGCAAAGCATGAGTATTACAAAGTAAAAATGTTATTTGCAAGAATCAATTTCTAAAAATATAAAGAACCATACAGAAATGGCAACCAAAAACATCACCAAAAATACTGTATATGTAAAATTCATCATGCTGGAAGATGGAATAGAAAAGCATGTACATCCTTCTCATGAGAGGTACAAGCTGAAATTTGCTGTCTGCCCTAAATACAAGTAAAATATCAGCAGACATGACCATCAGTCCTGTAGATACAAGTTCAAAAGCAGAGTTTACTATTGCTTTAATTAAAAAACAAATTCAGCACAATGTAACCAAAGATCATTACAAGTAATCAAAATGTTTAATTACACTTCCTATCTGCATTAATAAGAGTCACAACTCAAATCTCTTTGCCAAGAGCTACAATGTGTTATAATTTCCACTAGTTTTTTTAATTAACTTCTGGCTCTGGGCAAAGGCTGCTCATAGTCACAATATCCTGCTATTTTTAACACATACATTTTGTACATAAAAGAGAAAAATAAAAAAAAAATCTATTTTCCTTATGACTAGTTAGACTGCTTATTTCAACATGGACATCTACTTAATCCTAAAGTGTATCTATGGTGAAATGTAAAATCATATTTTCATTTTGTTTCCACTCATTTTCATTCTTTTACAAAGACATGTAATACAATTACAAACCGTCATTTAAACAAGGCAGTGGATATTACCATAAAGGTCATTTTGCCAATCAGAAAACTGATGTGCCTGTCTACTCTATTCTGTATGATGGCTACATGAAGGCTGTATTTGTTCAAGAGAGTTGTTCTTTCTTTCCCCCTCTTTTTTGTATACCCCTTTAGGGGTGTGTGTTTTTTCTTTGTATGTTGAACAAAACGCAATAAACAGATCTTAAAAAAAAAAAAAAAAAAAAAAAAAAAAAGAAAACTGATACACAATATTGCCTGGCAGTACTAGGGTCGTTGGTTCGAATCCCAGCCCCGGCACCACCTGCCTGGAGTTTGCATGTTCTCCCTGTGCCTGCATGGGTTTCCTCTGGGTACTCCAGTTTCCTGCCACACTCCAAAGACATGCTGCTAGGTTAATTGGCTCCTGTCTAAATTGGTCCTAGTATGAGTACGTATGAATGTGAGTTAGGGACCTTAGATTGTACACCCCTTGAGGGTTAGGGACTGATGTGAATGTACAATACATATATGTGTAAAGCGCTGCGTAAATGAATGGCGCTATACAAGTACCTGAAACAAATAAATAATTGGTGCTCAACCTGTGGCCTTCCAGCTGTTGCGAAAATACAAATCCCATGAGGCATTGCAAGGCTGACAGTTAGAAGCATGACTCCCAAAGGCAAAGGCATGATGGGACTTGTAGTTCCACAACCACTGGAGGACCACCGGTTGAGCACCCATGTACACATCAGGTATATTCACAGCACAATACAGGGAACAGATTAGGTAAATGAAACCAGGAGTATGCCATCTTGTACAAATCACTGGTCAAAGGGCCCAATAGATTTCAATGCAGGAAAATACATTTATCTCCAGGAATGAAAAAGGAACAGAAAGAAAAATGAAAGAAAAAAAAAAAAGAAAATAGGGGAAGTGACTGTGCAACCACATCACACTATCTAGGGTGTTAAAAAACCAAAAGGGCACTAGGCATTCCCTGAAAGATATTTGATCCCTAGCTCCATGTTTTTTCAAACTCTGCCATTTTATCATTCAAGACAGAAGAAAGTTTTTCATTAATCATTATCCAGGATAATTCAGCCTTGACCAAGTCAAATGAAACTATAGAAGATTTTCAAAACCTGGCTATAAAAATTCTTGCTATATTTTCAGGTCTGCATTGTATTCCAATTATTTCTAGCTTATCCCTATTAATCTCAATGATCCTGAAGTTTGTAATTGTACTTTGTAAAGATCCCCCGCACATTTCCTGACAAACTATGTGACCTGTATTCACTATGCCATGTGAGCAGGCACTGCTGTGTCACACATTTCACAGAGCCTGCCTTCTGAACTACAGAGATGCTGAGAGGAGGCGTTTCAGGAGGCGGAGTCAATACAGGAATCAAAACCTGCAGGCAGCAAGGTACCATGGGATATGTAGTCCTTAGAATTCTAAAAGTAAAAACATTTGAGGAGAAGCTGCAAAGCATGCAATGAGTTATGGAAAGGGATAACCAGCAGACAGGCAGCTCTTCTAACATGAACGATATTTAAAATGGAACTTCACTCTCTCAATCAACATTGACTATTTTGAATCCTTATTCTTCTAGCATTAGTAAATAGATAGGAATGTATATCATATTTACATCTTTTAAACTGTTTTTTAAATTTCTTTAGTTACTTCCTGGTTTACATGCCTAAGCAAATGATGTCATACATTCCAGGAGTCTTCAAGAAGGGGAGGAAGGGTATTCTCAGCTAAGACACCCTCCTGCCTATATGCCCGAGCTACAGGCAGATGGATTCCAGGAAGTAAATGCTACATTTTATTTTTATTACAGGTACTTATATAGCACCATCAATTTATGCAGCAATTTCCATATATATTGTAAATTCACATCAATCCCTAACTCTCAAGGAACTTACAATCTAAGGTCCCTAACGCACATTTATACATACACATATTAGGGTCATTTTACACAGGAGTCAATTAACCTACCAGCATGTCTTTGGAGTGTGGGAGGAAACTGGAGTACCTGGAGGAAACCCAGGAGACTCCAGGCAGGTTGTGCCGTGGTTGGGATTCGAACCAACAACCCTAGTGCTGCTAGGCAGAAGAGCTAATCACTTAGACAATGTGCTGCCCATGAATCATCTGCCCTTACTCAAGATGGCCATGGCCAGAAATGCTAGGGGGTGCTATTTTTAAGTGATTTCTCTGCAAAATAAACCATGGAAGCATGGATAGAGGGGTGAGTTTGCTTTGAATATTAAAAATGAATTAAACAGCGCTTTTAGTTTGTGGTGATCAGATACAGTTTAGTTCCGCATTAAAGTAAGCTTACGCTTGATTGTCAAATATAGCTATAGTTTATACTGCGATCACAATGCTGATGGTATAAAATAATAGTATATGAAGTGACCATTGCTTTCCTTTAAATTTCCTCAAGGTCCAAGTAAGTTTGGTGACGACATCTGATCACTTAATACATATTGCAAAAATAAATAAATTCACTTGTTGAGAGCTGAGGCAGTCAAGCCAGGTAATAGAAGATTGTGCGCTGTTTCAAATAGCCTTTTCCTGCCTGTTCTATACTTAATAGATCCTGAATTCTTCATGAATATGTTGAATAGTTCACCCTGGTCAAGCTTATCAACGGGAAGTCATTTTACAGCAGTCTCAATCACGTTCTACACAAATATTCTTTTTTATGCCCCAGAACTGGGTGTATGAAGTCAAGAATGACCAGAATAAAAATATTTTTATGAAGATGTGAGTCAAAATGGAGTTGCTGCCAACAGTAACCAATCCTGTATTTTATTGTGGTAAAATGAATCAAGAAATAGGACTGTCAATATGAGCAAACATATTTTTGTTTCAATTGTTCTTTTTACCAGTTTTTAAAAAATATGCACTTAAGTTCGAGTATATGTGAACCCTCGCCTTGTAAATCAACCCAGTTAAAAATAGAAATGCAAGACAAAAAGTGTAATTAATTTATACACATATACATACATTACATTACATTACATACACAAACACACACACATATATATATATATATATATATATATACACATATATATATATATATATATATATATATATATATATATATATATATATATATATATATATATATATATATATATATATATATATATATACATACATACATACATACACATATATACATACATACACATATATACATACACATATATACATATATATACACCCTTTTTCCTTTTTGTTTTATTAGTGATCACAGTCTCTGTTCTCAGATGCGAAGAGGGCGTAGAGATCTAGGGGTGGAGAAAATGCAGAACATTGGTCTTCCCAGTGAATGGCTGTGCGGGGGGGGGGTCAGGAAAACTCTAATCATTGGAGAAGAGCACACCGAGTTCCCAGCACACTGCTCTAATGCCTAGTGTGGTCAGTTTTTAACAGGGAAACAGAAGGGCTGGCATTTCACATAAAGCAAGTAATACAAAGAGAACAGGATACTTATTGATTTTATTTGTACACACACACTATATATATATATATATCCTAGATTGTAAGGAGCAGGGCCCTCTGTTTCCTCTTGTAGCAAATTGTATTGTAACCGTAATGTCTACCTTCATCTTGTAAAACCCTGCGCAAACTGCTGGAGCTATATAAATCCTGTTGTGTGTGTGTGTATATATATATATATATTTTTTTTTTTTTTTTTCAGAAAAAAGTGATCAATACCTTCATACGTTATGGTGCTACACCTAGTTTAGCAACTTAAGTTGTGGTTACCAGACACTGAACACTAGGAGGCTTTCTGCAATTAATGCTCAGTGAATAATTCACATATTTTTATTTCAACACTTTGCAGGTTAAATAATTGATTCAGATCTCCAATGTATCTCAAAGCCAGGGGGAATTACCACTCAAACCAACAAATCACAGAGTGGAAGTGTAGCAGCTTTCATTAGCAACAGACCACTTTTTAAATGGGTCTCTGAAGCACTTCCAATGATTAGCAGTGAAGGAGCAGAGCGTACACAAATCCCCTTATTATGTTGTCTTTAGGACATCTTTATTCAATGCATCTGGAAATGGTGATCTCTATCAGCCAAACTGGGC